TATATTTAAACATTTTTATATAATATTTATATATAAATTTATATAAATATCTCATAAATTTTTTAATTACACATGAACAATAGAGATTTATTATATTTATATGCATCAATTTTTTTTGGATCTTGTTGCACATGCTTTCCTCATAAATGTCATTAGATATATAATAAAGTTCATACAGGATATGAAGCTAATGAATCAATTTTAAATAGAATCGTAAGGCTCGTAATTTGTTCTCGTAAGACTTATAAGAACCTATGACTGATGTTTTAATTTTATGCGTATATACCGTAACATGTACGATCATTTGTAAATATTTAACGATTTCTCGTCAATGTTACGGCTAGCAAGAAGCTATTAGTAAACGTATTGCATAAAGTTATAAACACTTGTAAATTCTTGTAAGAGAATATGTTATGAGCCTTACGATTCTGCTTAGAATTTAGGCATTAATCTCTCATCGACTGTGTACGAAGAAACACATAGAGTTTTCTCTCTCTCTCTCTCTCTCTTTCTCTCATTGTTTCATATTCTTAATGAAGCGAGATGTTAATATTGCACAATTAATAATCCGTTATAATTCGATTACGAGAAAATTAGTCATTAATGCTATATGTCAGTGTAACTCTTTTAAAAGCACATTTAAACTAATAAATTAGCTGACATTTTTCGATAGGTCAGTTCAGAGTCTTGTTCATAAAGTTATATTATTTTATCTCATTATAACTAACACTGTATATATATATATATATATTTCTAAGATTGATCGATATCGCGATCTGACTTCTTCTTATAAACTCGGCTTATCTACTTTTGAAGAATTGTTGCTCTCTTTGTCAGCGCACACTTGATTGCGCTGATGTCGACGCAAAGTATCTAGCCTTTTGTACGATTTGCCACATTGATTACAATTGCTGTTGAAGCCTTTCTAACGCTTCCTGCCGATCCTGAAATGACGCCAGAAGTTCGTCGCATTTCTGTTGATGACGTTTCAGGCTGTCGACTCTTGTGTATGTTCTGCCACAGCCATCGCAACGGAATTGCTGGCAAGACTTGGAATTTTTCTGGACCACATTTGCCTCCACGTTGTTAAGGATCGGCGAGTCACACAGCAGGTACTTAAGCTGACCGTGAAAGGCTACCTCGCAGATTTCCGGTTCCTCATCGTTGCTCTTTTCCGCGGTGCATTGCTCATTCTCGTCTGTAAGGACACCGTTAATTCGTTAAAAAGCGAGAATATGTGGCAAGATGTACAGAACGACTGGCAAGCGCGAGCAGTATAAAGCCAGCAGCATGCATAATTTAAATTACCTTCTGATCTTGGTTTTGATAAAGTGTGGAAAGTCGTACAATCATAGAGGAATTAAAGAAAAAGAAAAGGGGGAAAAGGGAAGAAAAATTCTCTCAAAAACTTTAATTCACTGTTAATTATAAAGATAATATTTTTGGCGGTTTCTTTTGTTATAGAGAAAGATAATAAGAGATTCGTGACACATGTTTTTCGTACACAATTTTTTTGTATAAAAAGTAGGGTTTAAAAGTTTAGCGAGAAAGTTACTTTCTCAAAATTTGCAGATATTTATTGATTGGAAAAATAATGATAGTGCATAAACATATATCATACCGATATATAGATATAGATATATATATATAGAGAGAGAGAGAGAGAGAAAGACACGCGCGCGCATTGTAAACTAATTTATTTATGAACTATAAAATGCATACATACATGCTTATCATTTTGTACAAACTCTATATTTATGAACATTACACATTCTACAAAAAAGTAACGAATATGAATATATAATACGAAGAAAGAAAAATACAGAAATAAGTTTAATGAAAATTTTATACAATGTTTTACTTATTTTTTATTTATTTTATTTTCTGAAAATAAAATTTAAAACGAATTCTCTTAAAATAGACTTAATGGCGTTATTAAATATATATATATAATATATAGTATATATTATATATATATATATGTATATACTATAATATACCTAGCAACTTATTAAAACCAGAGATGGGAAGCAACTCGTTATTTTTAACGAGGTTAGAGTTACTTTTTTTCAGTAATTGTAACTTCGTTACTTTCTTTCCATCTGTAACTGTAACTTAACTTACACCTTTTAAGTAACTTATAACTAATTTAATAGTTACTTTATATATTTCAAACTTATTTTTCAATTTAGTGTGTGGTTCACTAGGCGCTACAAATGCTTCGAAATATTTGATTGACCAATCAGCAGAATGAAATTTATTAATTGATCAATCAGAGAATGCTTCAAAATATTTGCAGTATCAAGTAAACCGTAATTCATATGTGATTGATTATGACTGCGTTTATATTTACTGCTAGTGTTGAAGCTAGTGTTGGGTCCCTATTCTTTAAAAGAAACGTAAAATTAAGGAAATACTATAAGTGAAAGTTCTCCAATTTATGAAAAATTCAGCGATCAGGACAATTTTTTCATTTTAACCAGCAAACAAAAAATCGAATCTTTACACAAAAAAAATTATACTGTTTTTTTGAAGTCCGATAGTTCCAATGTTGATGTGTTAAATGATTATGATAGAATAGAAAAATTTAAAATTTAAAAATTAAGAATACATATTGTATTCATAACATTGTATTCATTCATGACATCTAACTTTGACATCTTTGACGATTTGACCTTTGGCGCTCTCTAACGTATGTATGTTGTACATTTACACGGTCGGATCTTAATTCTTATTTAAGAACAAAAAAAATTCTTCTTTAAATATAATACACTTCCAAGTATAGTTTTAAAGGATCGAAAAAAATCCAATTTTTCCAATTTTTCCGCGGATTTTTTTTCGGTTTTTTTCCTAAGGGTAGAAAAATTCATTTTGGAAAAATTCACGCGTGCTCGTAAAACCTATCACGTTTGCTTCTCGATTCTTTTCGTAAAGAAAATAATTGCGTATAGGGTACACAGCGGGATAAGTTAACAGAAATTATAAAATTGTATAAAAGATTGAGGTCGCATAATGTATTCAATAAAATATACATAGAGAGAGAGAGAGAGAAAGACACGCGCGCGCATTGTAAACTAATTTATTTATGAACTATAAAATGCATACATACATGCTTATCATTTTGTACAAACTCTATATTTATGAACATTACACATTCTACAAAAAAGTAACGAATATGAATATATAATACGAAGAAAGAAAAATACAGAAATAAGTTTAATGAAAATTTTATACAATGTTTTACTTATTTTTTATTTATTTTATTTTCTGAAAATAAAATTTAAAACGAATTCTCTTAAAATAGACTTAATGGCGTTATTAAATATATATATATAATATATAGTATATATTATATATATATATATGTATATACTATAATATACCTAGCAACTTATTAAAACCAGAGATGGGAAGCAACTCGTTATTTTTAACGAGGTTAGAGTTACTTTTTTTCAGTAATTGTAACTTCGTTACTTTCTTTCCATCTGTAACTGTAACTTAACTTACACCTTTTAAGTAACTTATAACTAATTTAATAGTTACTTTATATATTTCAAACTTATTTTTCAATTTAGTGTGTGGTTCACTAGGCGCTACAAATGCTTCGAAATATTTGATTGACCAATCAGCAGAATGAAATTTATTAATTGATCAATCAGAGAATGCTTCAAAATATTTGCAGTATCAAGTAAACCGTAATTCATATGTGATTGATTATGACTGCGTTTATATTTACTGCTAGTGTTGAAGCTAGTGTTGGGTCCCTATTCTTTAAAAGAAACGTAAAATTAAGGAAATACTATAAGTGAAAGTTCTCCAATTTATGAAAAATTCAGCGATCAGGACAATTTTTTCATTTTAACCAGCAAACAAAAAATCGAATCTTTACACAAAAAAAATTATACTGTTTTTTTGAAGTCCGATAGTTCCAATGTTGATGTGTTAAATGATTATGATAGAATAGAAAAATTTAAAATTTAAAAATTAAGAATACATATTGTATTCATAACATTGTATTCATTCATGACATCTAACTTTGACATCTTTGACGATTTGACCTTTGGCGCTCTCTAACGTATGTATGTTGTACATTTACACGGTCGGATCTTAATTCTTATTTAAGAACAAAAAAAATTCTTCTTTAAATATAATACACTTCCAAGTATAGTTTTAAAGGATCGAAAAAAATCCAATTTTTCCAATTTTTCCGCGGATTTTTTTTCGGTTTTTTTCCTAAGGGTAGAAAAATTCATTTTGGAAAAATTCACGCGTGCTCGTAAAACCTATCACGTTTGCTTCTCGATTCTTTTCGTAAAGAAAATAATTGCGTATAGGGTACACAGCGGGATAAGTTAACAGAAATTATAAAATTGTATAAAAGATTGAGGTCGCATAATGTATTCAATAAAATATACAAAACATACACTATTGCACCATTAATGTAAGAATTAAAAATATAGAGTTCAAACATCATGTTTATATGATAATAGCAGGTTTAGAAAATAATTTGGATTTAAACTGAATTCGTAACAAAATATTTGAAAAAAAATAAACTACAAAGAGACACTTCAGGAGTGTTCATTAGACCGGAGTGTGACAAACTAGAGTTAAAAATCTGTTTACTTAAGCTTTGCCATGTATTAAAGGAAGGTTAGATTAGGTTTTACTATAAAAATAGAAGGATAACTAAAAAATT